AACATCAAGATTGATAATAATGATTCAACATTCTACGAGGGATCTTAAGGCCGACAACTTGCCCTGCCACTGAAAGCCATGATGCAAGATATGTTTCGGTCCAATCCCCATGTTTAAGCAGAGCAGCATCACCCATGAAAAGTAGCTTCATCCACTCACCAGTTCCACAGGGATGTAATTTGTACCAGGGCCTATTCAAGTATGGATGTTCCTGCAATAAAAGCAAACATATATGAATTGATAAACCTTAGTCTGAACAGTTAAGATTTCAGTTCTAAACGAGACCAGCAACAGAAACAGGCATAAAGCTAACTAGAAGTCAGATGGAGAAAGAATGGCAAATTCAGCATACTTATCATCAATGTAGACATGGGATATGGAAAATTGTACCTCCTGAGTTATGAATGTCCACTTTGATTCCAACAATTTCTTCGAGGAGCAGGCAGGAAGCTCTTTTTCAATTTCATCCAACATTAAAGGTTGACCATCTACAGAGAGTACAGAGTTCGTTAATTATCCACTTCCAAAAAAAATTCAGTATGCATATGGATGTAAACACGTCGGCGATAATGACATTTAGTAGGCTAAGGGATGTCAATGTTTGAAAATATAACGGAATATTGAAGGTTCAGTCAGCATGATATTTGAGAATTGTAATCATCTAACTACCATGCAAGAGTTCCATAGCTAGAAAATATGAGATTAGATCCACCCGGCAAAATGAACACCAAGTATATAGTCTAGGTATGGCGTATCCACCTCAATTCCACATCACCAACCTCTTTGAGCATCAACTTTCCAGTTAACCAAATAACAATAACCCCCACAAAATGATCTTTAGATCTAATAGTTAGTGTTTAGCAAGGGAGAGAAGACAATCAACTCCCTTGTGGTTGTAGCACAAAGATTAGTCCAGAATCTGACCTGAGTCCAACCATCAGATAACCACATATAACATTTCAACAGAAAATTCACCAAATCCATCTAAGATAAATCGAATCAAATACATTACTTCGAAGATGCATACGATGAACTCAGTTCTGACATTGGTTTACAGAATATGAGATACATCGAACTTGGAAGAAGGGATTCCATTGCCTATGATAAGGAGAGATGTAATTGTAAATCACCAAGATTATGTTTTAACATATGCCATACTGATATAAAATTCTGAAAGATTTACTCTGGAGGAGCCATGATTAATGTTTTAAAATTCCTAGCACACATAGAAAAGATTCACAAGCTACAAGCACACTTGGTGACATCTCAACTGTTATCAAACTCAACACCAAAATTTTGATATAATTACTAGTCAAAGAACTTACCCCCACTATATGCACGGAAATATAGCACCGGAACCTTAAACGAGTAACTGTAAACCATATGGAAATCATAGTAATGTACTTCAAGATTACTGCTTTGGACCTTGCAAGAACAATGAGAACATGACAAACAAGTCAAGACAAAAAATTTCCAGGCAGTAGATCTAGAAAACCAATTTCATTTGTAATATCCATGTCTGATCATGATTTTACATACCAATGTGGCACTATCAACAGGGCCCTCACTCTCAGAGCAACTAGTTTCTTCATCACCAGTGTGACCATCTTGTTCATAATCATCCTGCACCCAGAAAGAAAAAGATAATGGATATTAGTAAAGTCATCTTTCTGCAAAAATTGGAAGCTATGACCCATTACTTCACCAAAAACAGACCTCACTTGACCCCGGGAGGAATATCTTCTCCAGTGACAAGTATCCTTCTGCCTGCGAGAGAGAGCATAAAGTTAATGCTTTTAGAGCAAGGAGTTGTTGGAAAAAATGGGTGTTCAATTCAAATGAGAAGACTAACTTCAACAGAAGAGACAAGAGGCTGTTTCCGGCAAGGAACCCAAGACCATGGCGGGAAATCAGGGTTAAGCGATTTCCATTTCTGGGCAAAAGTCTGAGCAGCCAGATAGAAATCCTTCTCCGACAGTGTTCCGTCCCAATTCACAACATCCATAATTGCAGGATTCCCAATACAATTACACCCTAAAACAGTTTGAGAATGTATGGCTTGGCACGAAAGATAAGAAAGACCTCGAATTGGTGAGGGGAAATAGAGAATAGAGAAAAGAGAAGCGTTTCGCTGCGACGCTGGTGGCTTGCCTCGCAGCTGAATTATAGTTTTTACTCGCCGCTAGCAGCCGCCGACGGTGGCCGGGGATCTTCACTTGGAATCTCAGGAAGAAAAAAAATGAGGGAATAAGAAAACAAAAGAGGAGACTTTTAAAACGTTGCGTTTAGTCAAAGTTTCGGAACATTGCCAATTGCCATTACAACAGTGCGGCCGTACACTAACTCCCTCTCCCTCTCTCCTCCGACGCCATGAAAGAAGAGCAACGCTCCCTCCTCCTCAAGTCCGCCGCTCTCTTCTCTCCTCCCCAAGGTTACCCATTTCGTTTCATTTCCTCGTACACAACAAAAATTTATCCTTTTTCATTTTTGTTTGCTAAAGCTAATTGCTTTCATTTGGTTTTAGGAGTGAAGCTGTCGTATGGGACGGCCGGGTTCAGGGCAGATGCATCGATCCTGCAATCGACGGTGTATAGGGTGGGGATCCTGGCGGCTCTGAGATCGCTGAAGACTAGATCAGTGGTTGGTTTGATGATCACAGCGTCTCACAATAAGGTCACTGATAATGGAGTCAAAATCACCGATCCAAGTGGAGGGATGCTCTCACAGGACTGGGAACCCTTTGCCGATCAACTTGCCAACGCCCCCACTTCAGAAATTCTTGTTTCGGTTAGTAATTTGTTTGTTTGGTTGAACTTTTGAATATTTTCTTTCTGAAACCAATGGAGACTGGAGAGGGTGTTTGGACTTCATGGGTGCATACAATGCTTACAAACTATGTTGCCTGAAACAGCTAATAACAGAATTTGTTGAGAAGGAAAACATCCTATTAGGTGGAGAGCAGTCAGCACAGATATTGTTGGGTAGAGATACTCGGCCTAGTGGAGAAAATCTCCTTGAAGCTGCAAAACAAGTATTTGTTCATTCATAAAATTTGATTCTTCTCATTATTTTTGCAAATGTATGTCTAATTCACTAACATGTTTGTTTGTTTGAAGGGAATTAAATCGGTTCTTGGAGCTACTGCACTTGACATGGGAGTTTTAACAACCCCACAGCTTCATTGGATGGTGCATGCTAGAAATAAAGGCATGAAAGCAACTGAATCTGACTACTTTGAACAGCTCTCTAGCTCATTCAGGTTAGTTAGGTCTTTGTATTTTCCAGTGGTTCTTTTCATTTGAATAACTGTTTTTGTGATTGATTAGGTGCTTGGTGGACTTGATCTCAAATGGAACTAAGATCAATCCAACAGATAACAAAGTTGTTGTTGATGGGGCAAATGGTGTGGGTGGGGAGAAACTTGAAATTCTAAAGAGCATGCTAAATGGCTTGGCTATTGAAGTCCGTAATTCAGGAAAAGGCGGAGGTGTACTGAATGAAGGGGTTGGTGCTGATTTTGTACAGAAGGAGAAAGTCTTTCCACATGAATTTGGTTTCAAGGATGTTGGAATAAGGTCAGCCATCTCTTCATCACTTGGTAATTGGTAGTGAATAAATTATAGCTATCAGAAATAGCTTCCAAAGATTGATTTAATCTCTACAGCATAAATATGGAAATACTTGAATATTTTTTACTGTACGCATGGTATATGATGCTTCCTTGAGTGGCATCTTTTCTTGCAGTAATATAGTGAGTGGCACATAACCATTTTGCACTGAAATGAACACGATGATTGTCTGCTATTGATTTAACCACTATAAGTTATTGACACAATGATTATCTTCATATTACTTCATTGGGTTGCATGCATGTGGTGTTTGTCTGAAACTCTTTGCAGAACATTAATGTGGATTTAGTATTATGAAAAGCAGTATCTTTTTGTTATTGTGCGACTTTTATGGGGGTTTGCAGACTAACTGCTTCAGAGGATTAAGTTTTACAGGTGTGCAAGTCTGGATGGAGATGCTGATCGCCTTGTATATTTTTCTGTGGCATCAGATTGTAGCAGCAAAATTGATCTTGTTGACGGGGACAAAATTTTATCTTTGTTTGCTTTATTCATAAAAGAGCAGCTTAGTGTTCTCGATGGGGAGAAAAATGAAAGATCAGATAATAAATATCAAGCTCGTCTTGGTGTTGTACAGACAGCATATGCAAATGGAGCATCAACAAAGTACCTTAAACAGTCAGGTCTAGAAGTTATTTTCACTCCAACAGGGGTGAAATATTTACATGAGAAAGCTGCTCAGTATGATATTGGGATCTATTTTGAGGCAAATGGCCATGGCACCATCTTGTTCTCAGAAGGTGTCTTATCATGGTTAGAGGCCAAGAATAATGAGCTTGCTTCCTTGGCTAAAGGTTATACTCAACATTTCCTTATCTTTCCTAGTAGTGCAGTTAAAGCAGTTTAAAGTATGGAAATAAAAGGTTATTGGGTCATCTGTTTTCAGGTTCAGAACAGCAGAAAGCTGCTTTGAGACTATTGGCAGTCAGTAAGTTGATTAACCAAGCTGTTGGAGATGCTTTGAGTGGCTTGCTCTTAGTAGAGGCAATTTTGCAACACATGGGATGGTCAATACATAAATGGAATGAGCTTTATCAGGATCTACCTAGTCGACAGCTTAAGGTCAGTTTTCTTGAGAACTCATAGAAGAAAATCCTCTCTACCCAACAGCTTAGCAATCTGACTAATTTCACTTTCTGTACTAAATATGATCCCTGAGTGATGAGAGAATCTTCTACATTTGCTCTATAAAGAGTGCACAGGACTTTTGATATCCCTTTTGGAAAGTAATGCTTCCTTCCAATTGTCAGGTTAAAGTTGTTGACAGAACTGCTGTTGTTACAGCAAATGCAGAAACTAGGGTGGTGAGTCCCCCTGGCATTCAAGAAGCCATTGATTCTGAAACTGGTAAAATACTTAAACCAGATTTTGTAATCCTGGCTTACTGTTTGTAGTTCTACCCAACTTCTTGACTAATAAATTCATAATTTTCTTGATTTTTATGAATAATGCAGTAAAATACCCTCAAGGGAGATGTTTCATACGGCCATCAGGTACAGAGGATGTCATCCGAGTATATGCAGAAGCATCAACACAGGAAGATGCAGACACCCTGGCCAACTCCGTGGCAAGCATAGTAGACCAGTTCCTGGGATTTGGCACTCCAAAGTAGCAGCTTCTCATAACTATTTAATGCAACGAAATTTCACAAGCTTGTCAAACAAGTGGCTTTCTAATGTAACTAACCTAAATGACAGAACAATCCTTTGATATTCAGGGCACGGAGTTCACTTCATGTTGTTAGATTTGTATTTTAATCTTTGTTGAATTGATGAGAATTTTTATTTGGAAACATTTTGAGATGAATTCCGAACTTCCAATTGAGTTTGTATGAAATGCTCAAGCATCTGCGAAGAAGGATGCTTATCAAAAGTCTTAATGGAGTTATGCATGTTGAACGTGAAAATGACATGGTAGCAAGTTATAACATCTGATCCCAAATTATATCATGAAAAATAAAAAATAAGAACCAAATTAATTAAAAAAGGAAAAAACAAAGGAGGAGCTTTAAGTGTATGGCACTATGCTCACTTTGAACCAAAACTCTTGATTTATCTAGCATTTTAACTCAAAAATTTCATTCTCAGTATCAGCTTATTTGTTCCTTTCCCAGTTCACACCCATCACCAAGAAAGAATGCAACTAGCCAAGACTGATAACAGGTTGCAGATTTAAGTCATATCGTATGCAGGTGAGGTGGGTAAGTTACATTAAATTTGTTCTGTTGTGAGTATACAAATGATGTGCCAATCAATGGAAAGACCAGAGATAGAATAAATATAAGACAAAAGACCAAAAACATGGAACAATCTGTTTGTGATCTAAGTTAGAACTGGATACAAGACACGATTATTTGCAAAAGTATGCATAATCGCTTTGGTATCATACAAGAAGTAAATGATCAACTTTATATAGCATATGACCACAATATCAAACTTTTCCAAGATATATATCCCTGAAGTTATGTCTCTGTATGCACAACTAAATTTCGTTTCTTCAAGCTTAGAAAACAAAATGGCTTAACTTTCTCATATATATATCATTGTCAATGGAACAAATGGTAGATATCAAACTCCATGTTGCATTATGGATGAGGTTTAAACTCATTTCAAATACATGCCATAAAATGAATTATCTAAAACAAAACAGTATTTGGAATCATCAGTTACCTCCTAGATGGCTCTTTAAATCAGAACCAATGAACAAAATTCCTCTATTTTTCAGTACTAGCTTTCGAGCTCCGAAATTCCTTTTTCAACTCTGCAACTCTCTTCATACAAGCCGCCTTGGACTTCCCTGGCACAGCAGCTGCAATCTTCTCCCACCTCATTGGTGCATCCTTGGGAAAAACTTTCAAAGCATTTAGCAAAGCAATATCCTCCCCTGCACTCCACCCAGTTCCAATATTACCACCGCCATTGTCTTTCTTGATTTCATCACTATCCTCCACCTCCTCGTTTTGCCCTTGAACCCTTGTAGCCAAAGGCTTCCTATTCTTCAAAAACTGGGCATATGAATCAGTATCATCCAGTTTCCTCTCTCCCAGCTCTTTTGCCTTCTTGATTACACTCTCCACTCTATGCCTTCCATTAAATGCCCCAGATATGGCCTCCCATCTCCCCGGCTTCCCTGGCGGATTCTTCAACATCTGTTTCTTCAGCATCTCCACGTCTTCCTCCCTCCACTCCTTCTCTTCCTCATCAAGAAACAACCCATTATTACCTTTCGCAGCATCTTCAATTTTTCTCGCTATTTCACCTTTTCTCTCTAAACTCAAGAACCCACTTACATTATCCCTTTTTCCTTCCGAACTGAAGGACCCATTTGAACTTTCTACATTTGAACTCCGATTGCCACGCAAATCGTCCTTCCTATCCGCCTTTGACCGTCTATTACTAGGAATTTTCCTAGCTTCAGGCTCAGATTGGGGATCTTGATCGAGAGGATCTGGGATGACTCGACCTTGACCGACACGAATGTCACCACCGGTGACGGAAATGGGAGCTAAGGGACCCAGGAGGAGGGAAAGAGAGACCCAAAACAGGAGCGACTTAACAGGCTCTGTCTGGAAGTAGAACAGGGATAGAGAAAGGAGAACGGAAGAGATTGGGAATGAAACAAAGAGGAGTGCTTTTGAGGGTTTCTGAGAGGTTTCGTTACGTTGGAGAGAAGACGGCTGCTGCCGTGACTGGAAAAGGAATCTGGGTCTGGTGTCTTCGTCCAAGAACTCCATTCTTCTCTGTTAATGGCGGCTGGATCTTGAGATCAACAGCAGACTTTTCTCCTTCCTCCCCTGGCTAAAGAAACCAGAAAATTTTTTCCGCAAATGTAAAATGCTGGGATTATTTGCACAAATCCACCCCTGAGCTTTTATTGATTTTATAATTTAGACCTTTAATTTACCGGAGTCTGCAAGGCACCCTTGGGCTTTCAATGTCCATTAGCTGCCTCAAAAGGCCCAACTAAATTGTTGGGCCGATTATTTAACCCAACGGGCCAACGGGGTTGCCCCCCCCACTAAATTGTTGGGCCAAGAATTTAACCCAACGGGGTTCCCCCTGTTTAAAGGCATAGCGTCTCAACTCTGTCCACCTTGGTTTTTCCACCTTGTACATTGCAAAAGCTTCGGCGTAAAAGGAGCGTTTGTGTGTTGTGGCGGCACGTTTCGTACTCTTTTCGTCACATACATGAAAATTTGAGACTCTCATAAAATCCAATTGAAAGAAATGAATGAAACAAATCGAGGGATTTAAAGAAAACATGTTTGGTCTCACTTGAAAGAGAAATGTCCCTAACATGATCAAGATAATGTCACTTTGTCAAATTACCACAATGTGTCGCCCACCGATTTGGCATCGCTCACAACATTCCCCTCTAGCAGTACCCCTACCTCAACTCCATTTTGGGTATATTTTTCATTCCTTCATTTGGAACTTATTAGTTTCCAACTCTCCTTGACAAGTTTGCCCGGTAGGAGTAGGAAATTTGGAGTTTTATTTGGTATCACAGTAAAACAATGTAAAAAGTAAAAACAAAATGAAGGAAAAAAACATAAAAATAGAAATAAAAGGTTGAAAACTTGGGGAAAAAAAAAGGAGTAGAAGTCAAAAATTGAGAGGTTAAATTTTTCTTTAATTAAAAATATTTTTAAGTTTACTAGCCTCAAAAAATTAAATTTTTTTTTTTTAAAAAAAAAGGTTTGCGGTTGACATATAAATGTAAAGCCAGTTCCAATGAAATAGACATAAAACAATTAGAAAATATTAGGCGTTCTCATGCATTAATAAAATATTTGGTTATTTCGAGCCAAAAAAGAAGAATAGAAAAATTTTAGTGTTAATAGACCATCGAAAAAAGAATATTAGTGTTAATGGAAATTTATGTCTCTGGAAAACATGTACAAAATTTAATATCAGTTTATTTTATATTCAGAAAAATATTCTTATTAAAAATATTTGAAATCTGTCAATATAACAGGAAAAAATTTAGGTGCAACATTAGAGAAATATAAGAGAGATATAGCCTTTTATGCTAAAAGTATGGTTTAGTGCCTTTTATGCTAAAAGTATAATATAATGCCTTTTCTGCAAAGAGCAAAGTGCAAAGTTTTTGCCAGAAAACACATTTCCTAGTTTGCAAAGATTGTGGCAAGAAATTGCTTGTAAGTATTTCTAATAATCCAAACAAAAAATGTTTTCAAAATCATTTTCAGTTCTTGAAATAAAAAACAGGAAAACATAGTTGTTTAAAACAAATAAAAAATAACAAGAAACCCCAAAATCAAAGTGATACCAAATAGCCTCAAGTTTCAAATGAGATTAGAAAAATATACCTGCCATGTAGTTGAAGAGTTTGCCAAGGAAAACACTGCAATCCCCGCTACTCTCAGCAACTAGGAAATTCACTATTGTGGCAATATAACAAGCAGCATATCTCAAGATCATTATCAAGGACATAACTCATTCAAGCAAGCCTTACATGTTGCCAAACCCATAGATAGGTCCACTGCATTTCTACAACTGAACTTTATAAGATCTACTCTTTCCAAATATGTGATGGAAAAGAACAAAACGCACACTTCCACTAACGTCAAACATACTTTTAACGCTAAAGTTTACAACATACATTGTAGATACCAGTAGGTTTCTTTAAAGAGTTGTGATCCTTTTAGTGATCATATTTTCTCTCAAACTCAGATTGTTAAATCTCAGTTAAATCCAGCATTACTTGTTATTCATGTTGAGACCCCACCATGTTTTTGGTTTTTATGTGAAGTAATGAGTTAATGTAAACTTAAATACAGAAATAACATCAGCCCAATTACACAATAATAAATATAAAAAACAGAAAAATGAAAATAAAAAAAAGGGAAAGAAAAGAAAAGAAAAGAGAAATGGATCTCAAGTATTCCAAAACATCCACTTGGCTCTGTACTCTCTGTGTAAGCGAGGTGAATTGCACGAAAAAAAAAATCAATGGAACTTATTAGTAAGCAATCAAAACAAAATGGGAATGAATAAAATAGATTAAGCAATTAAATACCCGATATTCCATAAAGAACTGATTAATACGGGATTTGATACTATGCCCCAAAAAAAGAAGAGAAAAGGCAATGTAAATATGGCAAGAACCAAAGGAACTACTTAATTCATCAAATTAAATCAAACATTACCAAAAATTCTATCATTATGCTTTTCATATGATCACAAATTAACTACAGCAACATTCAGCTGCAATAACCCCCTTTACTAGTCACCCTCTAAAGCGGCACCATATGGTCATACTCCACCCTTTAAGATTGCATAGACACTGAATTTTAGAGCATGTTCCAATTATCTGAGATTCTCAAATAATAATGAGACCCACAATCTCTAGTGGAAATTTGACCCAATTAGCATCTACTTAGGCTTGAACTTTTTCTAAAATTAAAACCAGGTTTCCTGTAAGTTTCCAATATAAGTAGAACATACATTGGTCAAAGAAAATCTTCAAAAATCGTGAATTCATAAGATGTAACCAAACAATTTAAGTTATTCTATTTCATTTTGAGGGGATACAACAACAAAATATATCAACCACTGAACCATACCAACAGCAATAAACGTGTTCTGTTCATCCCAAAGAACTAAATAAACAGATCAAGCCCTTCCACTACCACTACTAGGTTTCTTCATCGAAATCATACATCTTAGATGGGTGATAACCAAAAATTGTTTAATTCTATGATATTTCCATGGGAATATTCAAAGCAATAACGAGCTAGAGAAAGATCAGAATTTGAAACCACATACAATCCAAAGCTTCTGTCATGTGGATGCAGCGAGAGTAAAAAAGTACCTGGAAGCTTTGATGAAGAAAGCTGATCCGAGTAGAAGATAATCGAAATCAAATGAATCGATGCTGGAAAATAAAACCCTAGTCGATCAAATGCATCTGATTTCTTACATCAAATTCCAAAATACCCAATCAAGCTTTCTACCTATAAACACCCGAAAACATAATTTGAAAACCTGGCTCGACAGAAAAAAAAAAATCATTACTTGTTACGCCCACGGAAAGCGCCAGGGAGAAGGACGACGGAGGCACGGAAGAGAGATGGTGGTTTCGAACATCGGAAGTTGCAGGGAGAGGGTGAGGGTTTCTGACCGTTGGGTTTGAAAAGATAGTAATAATTTTAAAATAATTTATTGATTATTATTAATTAACTGATAACGAAAAAAATAATTTTTTAATCCTGTGTCATAAGATACATGATAAAAAAACGTATTTATTGTATTTTCACATTATTAATTTTGTATTAATTTACATAAAAAAATAAAAAATTAACATTAACTTTATCACTTCTAATACATAAATATTTTATTATTAAATAATTAATAAAACTATTATTAATTTTTAATTTTATTATATATATTAATAATTAAAAAAAAGGATACATCCTATGCCTGACAAAGGTTGTTTTTTTTAAAATAAAATTTTAAATTTAAATTTTATAAATAAAAAAATAAATATTAAAAGTATTTTCCTAAATAAAATTAAA